GCAAATGATTTTCTTATGACAAGAAGAAAATTAGTTTCTTAAAATATAAAAACTGTGTTTAGATAAATATTGTTTTAAACGTAAATAAAATACACATAAATCATTTTATAAATCTAAATAAATTATTTTCTAATATTAAAAGTATATTTTTTGTGTTTCAAATTAAAGTTTCTTATCAGAAAACAATTTATATAAATTTACAAAACGATTTATTTGTATTTTATTTACTTTTAAAATAAGTAAATATTTTTTAAATATACTTTTTTTTGTTTTCGTGCATAGATATATACCATATGTATACAATACAAAGCATTTTTCAGTCAAAGTGGTGCAGTAGGTAAGGTAAACGACTTAAGAATCAGAGGTTCCAGATTCAAATCTCAGCAATGGTAAGCAAATTTTCGAAGTACAATTTAAATTGAATTAAATAACGTGTAAAATAGTAAAGAGGAAAATTTAAGAAAAATTAAAAAAAAAAAGAAAAATGTATATAAATATTTTTTTGTGCTGTCTGAGCAGTGTCAGACTAATACTGGGATATGCAACATTGGACCGATGTCGGTGGCCAGTGTTGGGTCAAATCTGGCACGAGCCATGGACCCAGGTTATCATCTAAATGGAAGCCATTGTGTTGCCAGTATTGTATCAGTAGCTTTTACCAGCATTGCGCCAGCACTGCAAGTCTGGCAATCAGTACTGGCCCATTACTGGGCCGATCGTAAAACCCTATATGGGACAGTGCCTTTTTTCCCACTATGCGGCATGCGTCGAAATGTCGTTTCGTTCAATCATTGCTCAGTCTTCATCATTATATATAATATTTAATACTCTCTCTTATTTTTGTCTTTTTATTATAAGAGCTTGCTGGTTTTTTGATTAAAATCATAAAATTCCTCTCGAAAAAAATAAAAGAGCAAAATAACATACGAGGTAAGAATATAGTAATGATATATATATATATATATATATATATATATATATATATATAAAAGAATTATTAAGTTTGTATTGTTTGATAAAAAGATATGTCTTATTTGTAGTTTGAGCAAAGAACAGAAAGAAAGCTACGTAACCAATTTTGGTAGAAAAAGTAATTAGCCCGTTATTGGTTGTCAGTGATTTACTCGATAGTAAAAATAAAAAAATATTTTTAAATAAACAATTTTTATTATTTATAACATATTTATATAAATAACTTTTTCTTTTTTGTACTTAAATATACTAGAACAAACATTTTTTTCCGTATTTTCGATACGAAATGCATGTCGGTACGCGTATATTGAAAAATCATGTAGTTATATTTCATGACCAAAAACTCAAAATTTTTTCCCGATATTTATATAAACGGGTGACCTTACGTGAAGTTGTTCAAATTTGCAGTAGATCCATATCTTCATTATTTAAGTGATTCGGTTTCGATTTCTATCGAATAGAAACTACTAAATTTTTTTAAAAAGAACCTGAAATGAGAATATCTGATTACCCGTGCATTAACATAAAGGTTAAGTTGAAGTTATAGTATGGCAATCACATTGTAGTGAAACGTAATAAGAGAGCACTCATTTCTATCTAGATAGTAATTAACACTAAACATTTTTTTTAAATAATGCCCAATATAAAATTAATTTAAAATAGAAAAAAATCAGACTAATCTGAATATGAGATTTATTATGTATAATTTGTTTATCGATTTCTGCACGCTTTACAATTTTGTTGTAAATTATTTTATTTACCTTGCAATACGTGGAATGTTGGAATGAAAAGTATGAAAATAATAAAAAAAAAAAAACAAATTCGTTATCTTAAATATATACAAGTTTGACTTATCAGTTTTTTCCATATTTTTAAAAATTGATCATTAATATGGACTAATTATGGTCATTAATATATATGTCATAATACCCCGAACAAAAATTGAATCTAGTAATTGTCTAGTAATGATACAGAAAAGTTGGGTCTTACATCGCTACTAGCTAGGAATATAACGCTCACTTTTCCTAGCGGCTGTACCAGAAAAATTATCTAGTAGCAAGAAAATAATTTGTATACAAGAAAATAATTTGTAACTATAAGTGGTACAGTTACTAGACAGTTCTGATGTCCAATTTCTATTCAGGATTTACCGACGATTTTCTATCTCGTTACTGTGTAATCTTTTTCATCTAGTCACTAACTATATAATTGTTATAGTTAGATAGACCTGACATTCAAAAGACTGAGTAGTATTTAGCCAGTTACGAGCTAGTGACTAACCAGAAAACTTATCTAGTTATTACTATCTAGCTACTAGTCTTGAAATCTGCTCTACTAGATACGTTTTTGCTCGGGATAGCCATAAATATGATCATTAGTATGGAAATCCATTAAAATTTAAAAATCAGTAATTATTATTTTACCGTAATATTTTTTGTATTTTTGTTTTAGATTAAAATTAGATTAAAATTAAATTAAAATTAAATTAAATTAAAATTAGATTAAGATAATTAGGTTATTTATTGACTAGTTAACGAAATAATTCTAAAATAATTTTACTTAAAATTTGTGGATTGTCTACGACACAGGATTTTATAATATTCAGTTGTTTGTAACCTATGCCGTACTTTACCTTAAGTAAAACGTGACATTTTATATATGAGACATTTTATCGCGAATTATAAACTAACTTTGAAGAACGAATAGTGTGTAAAATGTCAGTCATTAAACAGGCACTTTCAAAGGTTATCAGGATGCATAATGTTGATTGGAATATGATACTACAAATTTGTGCTTCATTGTTCAATTTTAAACAATTTCATAATTTCTATGAGAGTCAACCATTTTATACATCCTAAAAATCTAATAAATTCCAACGTTCTCTTTAATCCTAAGATATTTAAAAATATCTGATATTTAAAAAATATCATTTTAAATATCACTTATAGCTCTTTAAAATTCTAAAAAGATAACATTTTATTTATATTCAAAATCTTAAGCTTCACCTCTAATATTTATTTTATCACTCATTGTAAAATAGATACAATTTCTAAGATATTAATAAATGAGTAAAAATTACTCATCTTTATCTTCATCGTACCATAAGTTATTACTACCTTTCTAGTAAGACTTTCAATATTAGTAAAAGTTACTTATGCTAAAGTTAGTTAACTTGAAAAGACTGTTATTTGATGCCGAGGAATTTCAAATTATTGAAACCTAGAGCATTACAAGATATAAGTGCTGTAAATATTTAAAATAATTCTAATCTGATAATTAAAAGGAGTTTAAAAATTGAAATATGTAAACACCCGAAAGTAAACACCCGAATAAATAAATAAGTAACCACGCGTACATTTACATACGTGTATGCGCGCATACACACACAAAGTTGTTAAAAAACTTACTTCAACTTGGAAAGACAAAGTAACTTCGGACATATATTTGTAGGAACTTTATTGTAAATTCTGAATATATTCTTTAAATATTTTTTACATTTTAGTTACATTTTGTATATTTTAAATGATTTAAGCAATTATTATTTTGAATATAAAAACAGATATTTGAATATAAGTTTTTTTTATATCACTTTTATATCACTTTTTGTACAACTATCTGGATTGGGAAAGTTACTTTTTGAAAATAATTTTCTACCATTATTCATTTCTGATACTCATTTTTTAAATAATTTTTAAAATAATTCATTATTATGCAAGAAATAATTGTTATAATTTTTTCACCAAAATTAAAGATGTTCTTTTCAGAATACTATTGTACACCTCATGCGTATATTCACTTATGCAAAGTAACGATGAAAATAACGATTATACTTTTTATTTATCTAAATAATATTGTTATATTATCGTAGGCGTTATATTAATGAAAAAGAAGTCACTGAGTTGTTATTGAAAAAAAATAACTTGTAATTATATTGTAACATGTAGTAACACTTATTAATTCTAATAATTATATATCAAGTATAAAACTTATTTGACTGTTTGTTACTTGATTGTATGTTTGAATTTTTGAAAAAATCAGTAATAATGTACAATTACTCGTAACATGACTGAATTACAGAATAAATGATGAATTATAGAATTAATAATAATGTACATTATTTATATACACGGCATCCCAGAACAACTTTCGAAGCTCTCATGAAGGCATAGTACGGATTGAGGTGAACATAAAAATTCTATATTCTTTCGTAATATTTGCAATTATCGCGATATTAATTAAAGAAGATTTCTTTGAATAATCATGCGAGATATGGTAGATGAACTGTAATAGCGACGTTTGCCATCATATACTTGTACATTATATCAAACTGAACAAAAAAGTCTTCTATCCTTTTCTTAATAACTTTGTAGATTTTTAGTTATTAATTAAATAACATTGATACATTATCGCAAGCAACTGTCCACTAATCTTCTTTAATTAATAATTAAAAATCTACAAAATTAAGATAATGGTAGAGAACATTTTTATTCAGTTTGACCTAATGTACAAGCACATGATGTCAGACGTCGCTACAGTTCATTTACCATATCTCGCGTGATCAATCAAAAAAATCTTCTTTAATTAATAACTCGGTAATTATTGCGAATATCACAAAACGATATAGCTTTTATGTTCACTTCAATCCATACTATGCCTCCATGGGAGCTTCGAAAATTGTTCTGGCATACCCTGTATATTCGTAACATGACCAAATCAGGTGTACACTGTTCTCGTTCATTATTTGCTTTAATCATTTTAATAATTCATGCACCTTTCACATTTTGCATGAAACGTAAAAATCTAAAGACTTTCCAATATCTAAACATTTTTCGAAAGCTTTTGATTATTATAGTTTTCGTGAAATTAAAAACTATTATTTTTGTTGTAATTAAGAAATTCAGAAGTCAGGGAAATGATATTTCAAAGACCTCATGATCTAAAAATTGCAAAACTTTACAGGTCTAACGACTTGCTCTCATAGTGATCAGTATTATAATCGAGTCGTCATGATCATCGATCCCATCTACCTTGAATTGTGGCAGGGAAAGGTGAATCTGGATGATCGCTGCTGGACAATTCCGTAGTACTAGTAGTACGATAGCGGTCAGTATCTGATTGCGTCCTTAAACCTCGATGAAGATCCAAGTCCCAAAGTTGAAGATCATTTTCACGCATCACAACGCCCATGTTCGCTTGATAGCTTGGTGAAAATGTATCACTGCTGGACACTTCCGAACTGGATTCTTGAAGATTCATAGAGAGTTTGTTACCCCATCTTCTTCGCACCCCCGCGACAGGTATGCGTGGCATCGTCTGCAGCATTTCACTGTCCTCCTCCAAATTTTGTTCTTCCTCGTTGGTTTCCCACAGTATTTATCTTCTATGTTCCGCAACCAAACGAAAATCGATATCGACAATTTTTACACGAATTTTTACATCTATACTAGATGTCATATACTTTGATGCTTATTCTATTTACGAGTTTTTATAATTTTCAAACTTTTGTTTATTCCTGTGTTTAAAATGATAGATAAAGTCAAAACCCGATAATATAAAGGGCTAACTTATAGGCTAAACTTTATGAGCCTAAATTTCAATCTAAAACAGTGCGAATCAATAAGATAAAAATTGATTTATATTAAAACTCAAACTGAACATAATATAATCTTATCGTCTTATATCCATTATTTTAAATAGAGATATGCAGATACAACGCGTAAGATCATACAAAAAATCTAATTATAATATTAGAACATATATGACGTCTGATATATGTAGATTTCTATTTGTTATACGACGATCGACGAATTTTCTTATTTTTTTTTCTATACAAAATTCTAGGAAAAAATTGATAAAAATTGATTTCGCATACGGTATTATCTACGTCAATTTAGAATTCGATTATAGGAAAATTAACTGTTTAATAGGAAAATGTTAGTATTTCATTTGTAGTTATTTGTAGATACGCAGATCTCGAACACACGGCGTCCCGCCGCCACTTAGTACGCCCTCCTCCTTCTATAGTAAAAAATCTAATAAAAAATCTAATTGTAGAAATAAGAATTATTTGTAAAAATAAGAATTTGGTTTATATTTCTAACCGTTAGAAGATACGATATGAAAAATAATTAGCATTCAAAGAATCCTGCACCGTACTTATGGGAAAATGTTTTCTTCTGCGGAGTAGAAGTCTAATTTTTTAATATGTTATAGTTCTCGTCATTCTGAACAAATGTCTCAATGGGCACAACTTGATACTATGAGCCGTTTCGGCGCTACAAGTCTTGGTCCAGATTAAACATATAAAAGTATAGGTTTTTAAACTCAACATATATGATCTTCGGTCAAATGTGCATACATTATGTATCTCTCTCTCTTTTTCTCTTTTCCTCTCCCCTCCCTCTCCCTCTTCTTCTTTCTCTCTTTCTCCCTCTCCCCCTCTCCCTTCTCTCTTTTTCTGTGCGTATGTATCACATCAGATAAGGACTTCATAGTTCGTCACTCTTGTAAAGACAAAGAATTTCATATAGATATGCTCACTAATGAATGTTTCTTGAAAGTGAGATTGAATATTCACGTTTTCGAAATGTGACAACATATAAATTATAACTAGCGTGCAACTGTGTTGGAGATGTGTTGGAAACGATAATATTATTGATGACTATATTTTTGGATATTACTGTATTTGCTAATCGAAATAAAAAATTGTTGGATACTGTGTATATGTAGTAAGCGTAATCTGGTTTTTGGAAAACAGAAGACACCAACCAAATATACGATATCCTGATGCATATCTACTTCATTAGATGCTAGTCAGAGACCACTGCAGCAAAATATAAACGACCCAACACTCAGTGATAAGTGATAATGTTATTAATTAACATACACGTGCACGTATGCACATATACACACAATACACGCGCGCACAGGCATACGATACGCACGCACACATGCGCACACACATATACACGCACACACATACACACACACACATATACACGCATTCGACCGAGGGTTATATACAGGGTGTCCTAGGACTACCATGATCACATTTTACGAGAACATAGAATTGAGGATTGAGGTGAGCAAGAAAATCCTGTGCGATATTTTTTGCGATATTCGCAATAGTTTTCGAGAAATTAATTATTTTGTTTGAGATAGTGAGAGCACGGGAATCGGCAGCTGAAAGAAAGATGTCTTCGATCGGCGCGCGATCCAAATCATAATACATCCAAATCGCGACTTGCTGCATTCCTCCGCCCATAGTTACGAGACACAGCAAAGCTTAATACACTAACACATGTGCATGATATATCTGTGTGTCAAATCGACGCTGAATCTAAGAGTGTGTTGCCGTTTCGCTGTTTCACCTCTACATACACGTATGCATCCGGAGCGACACACGCTTCGATTCGGTGTCGATTCGGCACACGGATATGTCATGCACATGTGTCAGTGTATTAAGCTTTGCTGCATCTTGTAGCTATGGGCGGAGGGACGCAGCGAGCCGCAAGTCGCGAGTATCATAGTCGCGCGCCGGCCGAAGACATTTTTTTTCGGCTGGCGTTTCCCGTGCTCTCATTATGTCAGACAAAATAATTAATTTCTCGAAAACTATTACGAATATCGCAAAACAGCATGGGACTTTTTGCTCATCTTAATCCGTTCTACGTTCTCGCAAAGTGTGATCATAGTGGTCTAAGACACTCTGTATATCGAGTTGAAAATATCTATATTTTTACATATATTTATATGTATTTTTACATGTTAAATCTTCTAGGGCTTGTAGTGCGGAAACGGCTTATAAGATCAAATTATGTCCATTAAGACATCTGTTTAGAATAATAAAAATTACAATATATTAAAAAATTAACCAAATGTGCAGAAAGATAATTTTCCATGAGAATGATGTAGGGTCTCTTTTGAGAAAAATATCCATTGATACATGTCGATATAAAATCATTAATGATACTTTCTTATATACACATAAAAGTTATAGTAGTTTGAAATAACTTGGAAAATGAAATAAATACTATATATATGCATAGACGATTTTATATAATATGAGCGAATTTAAGATATCTGAAGAAAGATTAACACGCGAAACCATACAGTATATGAGATTCGTCTAAACTTTTGCTTGTAACTTTTAAACGACTTAACTACAAATAAAACAAAACAAACGATTCTAAATAATTAATAGATTTAAGGTAAAATATTAGTTTTGTTGTTACTCAGTTGTCTAAACGATTATATATATATATATATATATATATATATAAATTTTGCAGTTATAAACAAAACAAAAAATAGTATAAACAACTACAATTCGATTCTGTATTAACTGTGTGTCAATGAACTTTTCATTTTAAGGCTCTTGGCTACGTCTATCTTAATTTATAATGTCAAAAGCAAGCAAATCTGTCCAAAACTCCTGCAAAATACGTCGAAATAAAAAGACATCTAAATAAATTATACTTGCAATCGATTACGCACACCTCCAAATTTCTGCGAATACTTTCCTTTTGCTCTAATAATCAATATATAACCATTTCTAATAATAATTAGAATGAATAATAAAATTAAAGTGATATGCAATCTTCCTTTTTAATATGCATTTCTTTATTATTTTGTCACGTTACTTTTATCGTTATTTATTAATTGTTCGGACAAATTGTTCGGAGTATTTTAGAAAAAATGTTTAAGCAATTGTAGGTGTCATTTTTTGAATATATCTTTATATTTTGACGTATTTTATAAAAATTTTGGCCATGAATTTCCTTCTTTCTGACGTCATCAAACAAGAATGACGAGGAATCAAGAATTTAAAAATCGATTGTGCTATATTTTTTTGTATTATATTTTTCGTATTATATTTTAATATTGAGGACAAAAACAAAATTATTATTAAAAACAGATAAAAAAGAAGTACTAACATTTTTTGCATTCAAAATCAATTTATTAAAGCATCACAGATGCATATAGCAAAGTTCTCAATCTTCCCCGCGTACGTTTTTATGCGTCGTACGAATAGATGTGTGTGTGTGTGTGTGTGTGTGTGTGTGTGTGTGTGTGTGTGTGTGTGTGTGTGTG